AGCTCAAGGTTTCTGTTGACAATCGCTTACTGGGTCCTTAGCTGAGGCCAACAACATCACGGCTCTCGAGTGTAAAACATGGAGAACGAGAGCCGATGTGACTGCAGCTCAGCTCAGCTGCAGGCGGTAAGTCCTGATTTCCATGGGTTTAAGGCTGATCTCTTGCGGGTCGGCATCACTATTGTGTGTGTGCATCAGAGACAGCGATACAGGAGTGATGCTTTTCACCTTCAGATCTGTCAGGAGCTTCTCTAAACGAATCTACATACACACACACACACACACACACACACACACACACAGTATGTTGATTAGTGGATTTCCAAAGCAACAACATGTTCAAGTATGCACTGAGTCATGGCTTAGACTTGTAAGTAGTGAGATGGTTAGCATATCTGTCAGTCTTGAAAGAACTGAGTGGAAAGTAAACAACTTTGTTTCTTCTGTCTCATCTTAAAGGTGGGGTAAGCGATTTTTCAAAAACGCTTTAGAAAACTGATTCGGGCCGACTAGCAAAACAAACTTGTAGCCAATCAGCAGTAAGGGGCGTGTCTACTCATGATGTGGAGGAGAAAGAGTTCAGTGCACAGGACGGACATTAGCTGAGCCGAGCGACAGAAAGATAGAGATGGCAGATAAAAAACAAAATAGGAAATGTCTGCGGAACAAAAGAAGGCTTAAAGCAATAAGTAAGACCCGTGCAAATACCGTCCGGTGTACAGACGAAACATGCTACCTATCAGATTGTGCTACCAAAAATATATTTGCATTGTTTTAAGGGTAAATTTAGGGTAAGGGTAGGTTTAGGGTAGGGGTAGGTATGGACATTAAAAAAAGCCTCAAACCACATGAATAACATGCTGGTAGCACAATCTGATAGGTAGAATTTTTCACTATCGATTTGTGCAACCTATGTTTTTAATGGGAGGTAGCACAATCTGAGCGGGTAGCACAAATCGTCAGAACGCCGGTGTAGACACGATGTAACATTGGTTTTGCTTTGTTTCACAGAACAAAGCAACTATTCAACCCAGGCAACGATTAGTTCTGTGAAACAAAGCAAAACCAATGTTACACCGTGTCTACACCGGACGCGAGTGGCACGGCTCGAAAAAATACTATGGAACTCATTATAATCAATGATACTGTCTACACCAGGGGTGTCCAAACTCGGTCCTGGAGGGCCGGTGTCCTGCAAAGTTTAGCTCCAACCCTAATTAAACACACCTGAACCAGGTAATCAAGCTCTTACTAGGCATAGAAACTTCCAGTCAGGTGTGTTGAGGCAAGTTGGAGCTAAACTCTGCAGGACACCGACCCTCCAGGACCGAGTTTGGACAGCCCTGGTCTACACCATATATATATATATACACATATCTATGGTCTACACTGGATGCGGCACGACACGACAAATCCCCGACAGAAAGCTCCTGCTGCGTTCTATTCATGACGTATTGACACAAATTTCAAAGGATTTTCAACGGTCGCTTTGTCGCATCCAGTGTACTAGACAGACTTTAGCTGTTGCGGCGCAGACACGGTGTTACTCACCTATCGAGAAGAAACAAAGCAACCTCGGCGTCCGATCGCAGGCCTTCCCCTCGTTGAGTTCTCTCCAGCGCTGGAAAGCTGATCCGATATATCCTTATTGCCTTAAGCCTTCTTTTGTTCCGCAGACGTTTTCCTCTTTTGTTTTTTATCCGCCATCTCTATCTTTCTGTCGCTCGGCTCGCTAATGTCCGTCCTGTGCACTGAACTCTCTCTCCTCCACATCATAAGTAGACATGCCCCTTACTGCTGATTGGCTACAAGTTTGTTTTTCTAGTCGGCCCGAATCAGTTTTCTAAAGCGTTTTTGAAAAATCGCTTACCCCACCTTTAAGTTGGTTGATTTCTGAGTGTAGAGTGTAGCACTGTGACTCTGTGGCAGGGATGGGCAAACTTGGTCCTGCAGAGTTGGTCCTCCAACCCTGATAAAGCTCACCTGCATGTAGCCTTCTAGTAATCCTGAAGATCTTAATTTGCTTGTTCAGGTGTGTTTGATAAGGGTTTGAGCTAAACTCTGCAGGTCAGTGGCCTCCAGGACCAAGTTTGCCCATCCCTGCTCTGGCATTAAGACTAATTTTGTTTTGAGTAACCGACCAGGGGTGCGTTTCCTATACAGCTGTGTAATTCACTGCTTAACCACCATAATGCAATGCATCAAAATTAATTAATTAATTAGTCACAACTTTTTTCCTAAAACTATAATTTTAGTATTTTTTTTATTTACCATTGTAGTATTTATTAATAATTTTGAATTAACTTTTAGTTCAGTTTAAGTTTTAGTAATTTTGTGCTTATGTCATTAATTCCGAAGGTGTAGGCACCTCATAGAACTACTTGAAGGAAAGTAATGAAATTCGGCACACAGGACAGTCTGAACATTAACCACAGAAAATGTCTCTAACTCAATTCCTCTAGCGCCACCAACTGTGCAAAGTTGCACATACGTTTATAGTTATAATTTTTGAACTGTAAGGGCTAGAAACTAATCTTTCTCACAAATTTCTCTCTTTCTCTGAATCCTTGGCTCAAAACTTAATTTTCCGTCATTCTGAATTTCCTGAAAAATGTATTTGAATTTGTTATTTTCGCGTTATTTTTACAATGTTGTTTAGAATTTAGAAGTCATTATTATAAAACTGACAGTTCAGATTCTGAAATCTGATTGGATAAACTGTTCCAAGGTGTTGTAAAATAACTATTATAAAACGGATAGTTCCGGTCCTTGATTTTGATTGGTTCGAAGCTGTTGTAAATTACTCTACAAACATACACCTTTGTTTACATTTGTGTGTTGCTCGGCAACCACTTTGTTGGAACCACAACCGTTTGTGAGTTACTACATTGTTTGGCGGAAGAATTATGTTTTTATTAATATCATTACACTTTATTTGCTTTGTTTTATTTTGTGAAACCTTACTAGGTATATGGAATAACCGTTTTATAAAAGCAATAAGCCCAGTGAAGCCGTGGTTTACAGTGAATTTATAACGCCCCTTAGCTGTTATAAATTCACTGTAAACCGCGGCTTCACAGGGCTTATTGCTTTAATATAAGCACTGATTTAAAACCCATTTAAAAATAAATATTAAAAATCACAAAAAAGTAGTCCATTGGTGCTTCTGAAGCCATATGATAGCTTTATGTGAGCTAAAGATTGAAATTTAAGGTGTTAAAGGGGACATCGGATGCCCATTTTCCACAAGTTGGTATGATTCTTAAGGGTCTTCATGAAATGTCTGTAACATACTTTGTTAAAATTCCTCAGTGGTCATGTAAAACAACACCCTTTTCGGTGCATGTCTCTTTAAATTCGTTTCAGTGCATGTCTCTTTAAATGCTAATGAGCTCCTGCTCACTAAACCCCTCTCTTCTGTGGGATGTCAACACAAGATGCATAAATTGCTGCCTTGGACTCCGTATATGGCTCGGAGGTGGTCTTATTCAAATAGCCAGCTATCTACGTAGAAACCAGCTGCAAATTGAAACAGCTCTCTGGATGTGACATAGTTTCAGACTCAGACAGCCCATAATAAACTGGCTGTGTGTTTTCTTTTCAGCTTTTCTGAGCTGTGAGAATTTATTAGTTAAGTAGTGTTATCTACTGTAATTTGTCTTTTAAGTCAGGTCTTTTCAATGAATCAGCTCACACAAAAACACAAAACTGGCCTAAATGAGAAGTTCTCAAGTTCAAAACAGTGACTTAATATTTCAGTAGCGCTGGCTCTTAGGTTACGTCCCTGTTTGCCTGAGGCTATGGATTACAGGTAAAAATGTTATAAATAATGTTCAGTTTCTTGCACACACAGATTGTTTTGCTTCATAAGACATCGATATATCATCAGAGCCACAGGTATTAGGGGCCGTTTACACGACAACGTTTTCAGCCAAACACGGTAAACTTTTTATGCCTTTTGCCTGTTCGTTTACACGACATTGGCGTTTTGGGGTCATATTTTTGAAAACGGGTTTCAAAGTGCAAGTCTTCGAAAACGCCACCGTTATCATTTCCATGTAAACACCCAAAACGGGAATCTTTGAAAATGGTGACGTCATGCACGTGCGTAGTATGTGTTAGGTATGTAGACATGCGCAGTACGTGTCGATTTTAAAGGCAAACGCGAACAAACATACACAACAATGGCAGAGTACATGGTAATGTCGTTGTTGCTCAAGAGTTTGCTAACGCTTTTTCAGCAAAGTGTGGATTTACTTCACCAATATTACAACCAACAGTGGAGATGCATCACATACAACATATAATCGTCACTTTGGTACAGGTACTGTTTACTAACAAGGTGACAGCGCCAACTACTGGCCTGGCATACGTAATACAGCGTTTTTGGCCGTTTTCACGGATATGTGTAAACGCAAATCGTTTTGAAAATGTTGTCGTGTATACGTGAAACTTTTTAAAAACGCAAGGGACTACATTGTTGTCGTGTAAGCGTAGCCTTAGTGTTTTGTTGTCTGATATGCTTTTTTTGCCTTTCAAAGTGTCGGTATCTATTGACTTGCATTTTATCAATCACCAAGGACCATGGTTTCAGCTAAAAAACTTCTTTACTGTTCGACTGAAGAAAAAAAGTCACCTACATCTTGAATAGTATGAGTGTGAAAATTTTCAGAAAATTTTAATTTCTGGCTGAACCCCAAACTTAGTTCATGACTTCAGACCTATGCATTTATATTACTTTCATGGTACCTTTTTGAAGCTTGAATGCTCCAGTGCCTTATCATTTTAATTGGATAGAAAAAAAGACCAGTAAGTTCTCCCTTCTGTGTTCTATGGAATATGGATTCTGTGTTTAAAAGAGATTTACATTTTTGCGTGAACTATCCTTTTGGGAGCAAATGTACAATCTTATTTATTTATTTATTATTAAATATAAGCCTCCAAAACTCAGGCCAAAATTAAGTAGCAGTGATGAGACCCTCTTTAAATTAGTGATGTGTGTCTGTGTGTAGGAAGCCGCGTGATCTGCTTTACCTTGCCACGTGTGGTGAAACACAGTAGGCCAGTGTTCCGATTGGAGAAGCCACAGTCAAAGCCTTTTCTGTGCAGTATCAAAGCAGCTTGCTCGGATGGACCTCCCCCTTCCTCCTGCGAGAGAAGCGAGACAGAGCCTCAGGCCACATAAACATAACACCGATTCTTCTCCACACGCACACACTGGGCCAATTATGGAGCGCTGCCTTTCACTCATCAGCTGCAGCTCAGCACCACAGTGAGAGGGTTTCCCATCACAACACCATGGAAAGTCTCTCCTCAAGACTTCAGAAAACAAAGGAACTTAAAGCAGTCTTGCTGGTTCAAAATAACATAGCATGGCACAATAATTTCGACGTGTCCTTCGGTTTGTAAAATCAAACAATGATTGCATTTACAGTAATGCACTTACAATGAATTGATTGTGAGGCAAAGAATATGGTGGGCTTCACTTATTTTTTTATGAAGCACACATGCAGATCTTCCGTACAGAAATGTGTATTATTTGAGCTTGGGCAAAGATGGATTTCTATAAAGTTGTATAGAGAATTATCCATTAATGTATATGTTAATATGCGCTTCTGGTATTCTTGCATGTATTGTATTGTATTACAGTTACTGCATCTACAAAAACTGGAAATACTGGATTAAAACTAGTGATGTACCGAAATGATTTTTTAAGTTAATTTTTTCATTTAGCACAAAACTGAAAATAAACTTTATTTAATAATCAATAAATTCATCAAAATTAGTTGTATATCAAATTGAAAAACAATTATGCTTCTACTCCAATTCACTGAAACATTTAAACAGCGGCGCTAATAAAATCTTGTTTTCATGACAGATTTACATTAAATAAAAATAAACAGGCTAAGTAAAAACATGAATATGTAATATAGTGCATATAATTAGCAAAATACTCCTCTCTAGAATTATTTTTTTTCTAGCTGAATAAAGATTATAATGGCTTTCCTGAGGTAAATGTAATTTAATGTGGCATGCCGTTTACAAGCCGCTCTACTGACATCTTACATCGTAGTTACATTATAGAGTGTCAAAACAACAGTTGTTTGAATTTTGTTATAAAACTGACAGAATTTTAATATTATTGAATATTATTAATATCTTTACGCATAAAACTTCTTAATAAGCTAAAATATTGGGTGCAACTTTAAATTTTGTGGCTATATTTAAAAATTTGTACAGTGTCCCAACTTTTTTGGAATTGGGTTTGTAATTCTATTGAAACTTTAAGTCATGTATTTAAATATATTTGTTATTATACCTTTGCAACGACGAAGTTGCAAATATAAAATATAAAATATATTCATTTTAAATGTAATATCGAATAACACCACAGTTACCATTTTAATTACTTTACATGTGCTTTAGTATGTTAGCCAACACATCAAAATAAATCGAAAAGTACAACAAAAGATTATTAAAACGTAATGATTTAAAATGTGTAAAACTTGTTGTGAAAGTGTTGTCTCTTTAAACACACCGGAGTGGCTTTTTATTAATACCGTACAGTTCTTTTACAGATATACTTTTTAAAATTACGCACACTAAAAGTGCACTGTTCAGTTAAAGTGCCCCTATTATGCCATTTTTAAGGTTGCTAATATTGTTTTATGAGTCTCCCAAAACAGGTTTACATGCATGCAAGGCCAAAAAACACGTTCGTTTTCTAAAATAATAGATTTAATTTTACCTAATTTATAAATGATTCGTAAATGACTCGTGCGAAGCCACAAGCACGACTGGAGCAGGACATTTCTCAGTGGTAAGTGTCAAGTGTTAACAAGTTTGTGGTAATTATAAGATGTGATAAAACAAATTTACTCTCACAGCGTAGGATACAGCGTCTTCTCGACATGATGTTCACCACACGGAAATTTTACTGTTTGTGGGCAGGCAAGTAGGTGACGTAGAATGTGGGCGGACATTATGCAAATGTGTTACTTCGTGACGTAGAGCCGTAACAGAATAAGATTCGAATTCCTGACGACTCGTTTAGGCGATTGCGAGCCGACTCTTTTTTTTGATAGACAATAACTTTATTTATCGTGCACTGTCGGCTTCACAACTTTTCAGATAGTTTATGTTCACATACAGCTACATGACACAACTGCATGAAAGGTAATATTCGAAAAGGCATAATAGGGGCCCTTTAATATGTTGCCTTAGAAGGTAGCTCACTACTTAGAGAGGCAACTCACTACAGTCTGGAATGTACCTATAATACAGCAATGCTGTGTTTTTGAAAAATACATTAAAGGGTATTATCATATCTTTTTATTATTTTTTTTTCCTGTGGGGTCTGTATATATGTATAAACCTGTATTATGTGATAGATTCATTAAACAATCTAAGCTGAAATGTGTCACATAAACTGTTAAATTCAGACTGACATGATCAAGGATATTGTTAAAAATACATTTCAGCTTTCGAACAGTGGGATTCTTCAGAAAGATACTGCAGAGTGACTGTATTTGTTCTGGAGTTAAGAATAACTATCCAAATCCATTTCTGAATACCAAATAGGCATTGTTGATATGTTAATGTGGGCAGTCATGTGTTTATATGTTATTTCAATAACTAGTCACATGGGAGGATTTGACAGTATATTTTGACAGTACAATTAAGTCATTTATCTCAAAAGAACAAGAAAATTGTGATTACTCATGATAAGACCCCTTTAAGCGTTTAAGCCAGATTGAATCGCATCCTCTCATCCTCTACTGAAATCTCTCAAACGGTCCCGTAAGCCCTGTTCTGAACACTTTTACCATTATCCTGTCATGTGTTAAAATATTACCATTCAGCCCTGGGAAATAGGACCCTGAAATATCAATTTGAAGGTCAGTATACTTTATGGCCCTCTTAGGAACTGAACCAGCAGTCCTGTGCTCCCCAATTATGGCCAAAACCGGTTTCTGCTTCCTCTTTCAAATCGACACAAACACAACTGAGACATACCTTAGACTGGATAGCACGCAGGTTGACCAGATGCAAGTCGCAGGGGAAGGAGGCGCTCAGAGGGATGTAGGGAATCAAGGATGGGGTGTCCGAGCGCTGACTGACTGCCATTGAGATGAGGGGATGGTTCAGGTACATGTACGACATGTGACTCAATATAGATGGATAGCTGTTTGGTGCGGTCTCCTCACTCTGGGCCTAAGACAGAAAAGTCAGCATTAAATTAAAATAGGTTTCCTTCTAAATCAGGAAACTGTGCAAGTATGTGAATGCAAACACTCCTGAATTAGTCTTCTACAACAACTGTCCTGATTTAGTAGCAGCATTTCCAGGAAAATCTAGCTAAGACAGTTAAAGTTATTTAAACTATCATCGTATAATACATATATTACATAGAGTGCCATCAAGCACTGAGGTTTGTTACAGCCACAATAACCCAAGAAAGAACATTAAAGCAAAAGATGTACAATGGGACCGCAATGACAAGTTTCTGATATGTTTCTGGCCTAAGTAGACAGTAGGCAACAGGTTATTTTTTCAACCCTGCTGGGGAAAAAAAACTGATTAAGGTGGTCAAGCCGGTTATTACAGCATTAGAAACTGGGCGATGGTTTGTTGTTGGTCCACAGTGTCCACGAGCCGGCAGTCCAGCTGTTTAAGCATCTAGACCACCTAATGACCATAAACGACAAGATTGGACCCACTATCAGTCCTAAAAACAGCTATAGGGTTGGGCCGATAGACGATCACGATGTTAAGCTGACATAGTGATTCCTCCCCCCAACCCCTCTCCCGCAATCCGCCGCATCCCAGTTCCGTGTTCGGAAAGTAAATGAAGTGTACTACGGAAAATAGGGTTGGGCCGATAGACGATGCCATCGTCCATCGCCGATGGCTGACAGCCATCACGATGTTAAGCTGACATAGTGATTCCTCCCCCCAATCCCTCTCCCGCAATCCGCCGCATCCCAGTTCCGTGTTCGGAAAGTAAATGAAGTGTACTACGGAAACCCCAAAGGGAATAAATAGCCTACAAGATGGGAGGATTAAAAAAAATATTTCAATACATTTTCTCGCAATTATATCGTTGGGCAAGTATAGGCAACTGTATATAAATTGCGGGCATCAGGGAGCCGCTACTGAAATCGCTTTTGATTGCGCGCTCGCATTTTACTTTCACTTTCGAGATTCGTGATCACAAGGACTCTATACTATGGAGCGGCAGTACTTACCACACATTTGACAAGATTAGATGTTTGTCATTGGTGCTCAGGATCTGCAAATCATTCGCCATCGTCCTATCAGACATTTCTCCTTACTCTGTGTATGTGGTAAGTGAACTTTCATGTACTGTAATGCAACAGGCTACCGCTAGCAAGCGGCTAACCTTTTAGTGTCTCCGTAGAACACCTTATTTGTTTTACGCTTCGGGCACACCCCTAACTCCGCCCCCGATGTCATCGTCCATCACGATGTTTCACTGCAGACATCGTCCGATGCCAATTTGGTAGACATCGCCCAACCCTAAACAGCTAGCACCTTAAGCTCATCTTCTGGGACTGTTAAAGCCATAACAGGTTATACTATTTATCTATATACATACACTACAATTAAAAAGTTTGTGGTCAGTAAGAATGTACTGTAATGCAACAGGCTACCGCTAGCAAGCGGCTAACCTTTTAGTGTCTCCGTAGAACGCCTTATTTGTTTTACGCTTCGGGCACACCCCTAACTCCGCCCCCGATGTCATCGTCCATCACGATGTTTCACTGCAGACATCGTCCGATGCCAATTTGGTAGACATCGCCCAACCCTAAACAGCTAGCACCTTAAGCTCATCTTCTGGGACTGTTAAAGCCATAATAGGTTATACTATTTATCTATATACATACACTACAATTAAAAAGTTTGTGGTCAGTAAGATTTTTTTTTGTAAAGTTTTTACTTTTATTCAGCGAGGATGCATTAAACTGATCAAAAGTGACAGTAAACTTCTTTACTGAAAACAAAATTTTAAAAAAATCGTTTGAACTTTCCAATTAATCAGAAATCATGAAAAAAAAGTATATATTAAAAATATTTAGCGCCACAAATGTTTTCAACATTTATAATAAGAATGTTTTTTTGGAGCAGTAAATCAGCATATTAGAATGATTTCTGAAGGGTCATGTGACACTGAAGACTGGCGTAATGATGCTGAAAATTCTTCTTTGCATCACAGGAATAAATGATGTTTTAAAATAAAATAAAATAAAAATTGTAATAATATTTCACAATATTGCTGTTTTTAACGTATTCTTTTTGATTAAATGAATGCAGCCTTGGTGAGCATAAGTGACTTTTTCGAAAATATTTAAAAAATCTTACTGACCACAAACTTTTGAACAGTAGTCAAATGTTTTAATTTATTTTAAATCATTAAAAACTAAAAGCAGTCCTTTTAAATTCTACATATGAATTTAGGCATCATAGCATTATGTTGTACAGTATGAAAAATGTATATTCTTTTTGAGATTGATAATGATTGCTTAAATTTAACAGTATTATTAAATAGTGTTTTTAAAGATTAAGTGAGTGTTAGATGATGGCAAAAGTAACCTGAATATAAAAACAGGGGAAATTAACATGTGCAATTAAATATGCAATATTTATCATTTTAATAACAACAAGCCTTCCTGTAGCTTGAACAGAGCAAATGCCATGGCCATGAGTACATACAATAATCAGCTAATAAAGGTCTTCATTTTTTATTTTTTTTATTTTTTTGGGCCAAGTGTGTCCTATACTCAGAATCTGTGCTTAATTGAGTTTAATTGTGCTTAACTGTGTCTTAAATGAGTTTCAGCAGGGAACTTCCAAAATTCCAAAAAGCCAGACACTGAGAGCAAGTGGTCATTAATGGATGTATGTTTTTTTCTTCTTCTTTAGCTCAATCATTTCTCCATCCTGATTACCTCCTCCGCAGAGCTCCTCTTCTCCAGTAGTAGGCGGAAGGAGTTGGCAGTGATCTTATTGTCCAGCACTCCCTGACCTAAACCTCGATTATCATCCTGATTGAGCCTGCGGTCCATAATCACCTCCAGCTGACCTGTGGAATCCACAGCAATGAGCTTCATTAGGATGTCACACATGCTTCACCACAACACCCACTGATGCCTCAAATGGACATGCATAAATCATGTGTTCCATAGACCACGAGACCATAGAGCCTGTGGTTTGAGCACTAAACAAATAAATCTTTTTTTTTTACAAAACAACCTGACAAAACCACACTTGACAGATTGTATTATGAACAAAAACACTTTACATTCAACTTTTGGAGTGTTTTTCACCACCAATTCACCTACGCCTGTAGACCTGCCAGAGTGGAGTGAGGCCATATCTATTCAAACAAAAACCCGAGAATAGCAGTTCTGATGGTCACTGATGTGTCTAAATGGTAGGCTGTCAAATTATTTGCTTATGGTTTTGTAACTGTTGCAGCATTAAGTTGGCATGTGGTATTTACAATGACATGAGAGGGACATTCTCATTATAAAGAGCATTTTATTTTTCAGAATGTCTTAATATTTGGTTTGACTTTAAATGACAGCAGTTTCTGTAAAATCTGTCGATCATGTTCTCCAGCATGATTTGAGAATGATACAAGGAGCATTTAGGATGATATTAAAAATCTATTCAATTTAAGGAATAAGAAATAAAATACAATTTTATTGTATGGGGGGAGGGGGGTTCAGTGCCTATAAATGTTGTGATGCTTTAGTGAAATTAAGCATGAAAACATAATGTAAACTAACGTTCAAAAGGTTAGGGTTTTTGGAAGAAGTCTCTCATGCTTACTACTTGTTTGATCAAAAAACAGTAATATTGTTATTACAATTTAAAATAACTGTTTTCTATTTCAATACATTTTAAAATATTATGCATTCTTGTGACAAAAAGCTGAATTTTCAGCATCATTACTCCAGTCTTTAGTGTCACATGATCTTTTAGAAATCATTCTAATATGCTGATTTGGTGCTCAAGAAACATTTCATATTATTATCCATGTTGAAAACAGCTGTGTTTCTTTATATTTTTGTATAAAAACCAATATGTTTTTTTTTTCAGGATTCTTTGATGAATAGAAAGTTCAAAAGAACAGCATTTATTTGAAACGGAAATATTTTGTAACATTATAAATATCTTTCCTGTCACGTTTGATCAATTTAATGCATCCTTCCTGAACAGAAATATTTATTACTTAAAAAATTATTTTTTTTTTTGAACCCAGACTTTTGTATGTTAGTGTAAATATGGACATCTGTTAATACTGAGATAAATAGCTGAATAGTTGAGATGATAAAATTCCTATATCTGAGTTCACATGGTCAATAGTACAAATTTGTTTGTTTGATCAGTGTCCAAATAATGCTGAATCTGGAATGTTTAATCATGCATTATTAATTAAATTAATTGCAGAATCTTGAATGTTTCTTGTTAATTTTAGATAATAACTTTAAATTCTTAAAAACCTTTGTTATTTCCAGGTTTCATGGTTTTCTTTGTTGTTTCCAGATTTTCAAACCCAGATCCAAAACCTACAGCACTTAGAAGTGAGTTAAAACTGACCGCTCTTGAGGCTGGCTGCTCCGAGTGACTGTGCAGTGAGTAGAGAGAGTCTGGCGCTCGAGTCCTGCAGGTAGACCATGCTGGTCATGGGGTAGAAGTTTGCCTGAAGGGGGAGCTTAGCCATGGTTTTCCTCGGCTGCACCTGTAAAAACAGCCCACGGCATTTTTAGCACTGCAGGGAGGAAAAGCTCCAAATCCCCCCTGCAAACACTGAGTGTGGGCAGGTGGAGACACTTATCTGAAGGAAAAAACACTGTAAATTGATGATCTTCGATGTGTGTGCACAAGTGTGTGTTAATGTGACTTGGAGGAAAAAATTTTATTCATGAAGCATTTGTTTTTTGTTGTCAGTTAATTAGTTTGGACCGAAGAAAAGCACTTAATCCTGGCCAAGGACAGAGAGTCATCATCTGCTAATTAAATGCCACACTAATACTCCAACATGTAAAAAAAAAAAAAAAAAAAATGAAAGAGATCCCCCCTGCAAACACTGAGTGTGGGCAGGTGGAGACACTTATCTGAAGGAAAAAACACTGTAAATTGATGATCTTCGATGTGTGTGCACAAGTGTGTGTTAATGTGACTTGGAGGAAAACATTTTATTCATGAAGCATTTGTTTTTTGTTGTCAGTTAATTAGTTTGGACCGAAGAAAAGCACTTAATCCTGGCCAAGGACAGAGAGTCATCATCTGCTAATTAAATGCCACACTAATACTCCAACATGTAAAAAAAAAAAAAAAAAAAAAAAAAATGATAGAGTGATTTAAACTGACACTTGTTTGTTTTGGTCAGCCCTAGAGCACACTCTAAACTCTTTTTTGATTAATTATTTGTCAAAAGAAATGAAAAACAAACTGACATTTTCATTATGCCATCCAGAAACAACTAGGCATTCTGGCACTATCAACCAAAATCAAACAAGACTGCCAAAACATAAATTAACTAACTTCTGATGACTCCTTTGTTGATTAGTGTTACTTGTCAGTAAACAGAATTAGTCCAGCTAGCCATCTATATCCACACCTTGAGATCATGTATTTAACTTAAATCCGGCAACAACATGCTTCTCGTCATTAAAATGTTTCACTTTCATTTAGGTGTGTTATCTTTATTCAGAGACTGATGAAAATGTGGTTTCATCACATTTGATGTGTGTGATCAGGCAATAATAGCAGCATCTGTTCATATTCTTGTGTTTCAATTAATTATAGATAAAATCAGATCATTCTTTTATGATATTTGTTTACTGTCGGGAAATGAGGCCAGCAGACATGTTGTTGGTACCCAATATGACGTTTCACAGAAGAAAAAAATCTATGCACGAGTCTTTATATTATGTAAATTTGAAATAGAAGTCTTTTGTAACATTAGAAATGTGAACAATTGAATGCGTCCTAGCTGAATAAAAGTATTGATTTCTTTAAAAAAAAATCTCACTGACCCCAAACTTTTGAAAGGTAGTGTATATTCTGTTACATTTGTCATCAAATTACACATATTTTGCTTTCTTTCTGTAAAAAGGTTTTGATAGGAAGAAGAGGCTGAAATTTGTGGGCAGGTTTAGTAACATCCTAAAGTCAGTCCACATATGGGCTGGTTCAGTGAGAGATCTTTAGGTTACTAACGTAACTCCGGTTCTCTGAAATCATGAAGTGAGGTATCTCAATATGGAAATGCCCCAGGCGTGACGGTTTGCAGAAGCACCAATGACCGGGAAAGAACCGGGGTTACGTTAGTTACTTAAAGTTTTCTTTCTAACATTCGCTCGGTATCTCACTATGGGATATAGACATAGTAATATCCCACATTGCCGATGTGCTGACGAAGCAGACTAAAGATGAATATGATCTGAATTAAACCTCTTTGACCCAACTCAAGTGGTTAAAGCAGATCAGTAAAGTCTGAACATTTCGAAAATGTTGTCAATAAACTGAATAAACTGGATTACCCAAAAGCTTAATGTACAATTTGTCTACTCGCTCCCAATGGGCAAGTGAAGGTTCTGTCACGTCCAGTCTATAGAACCTCACTAAAGTGTGTGGGGAAGTCCAGTTAGCAGCAGCACACATTTCCTGGATAGAAATGCCCTTAAATAGTGCCCAAGATGTAGCTATACCTCTGGTAGAGTGAGCTCATAACTCGTTTGGGGGCTCTATATTCGCGTTATTGTAACATAACACGACTGCCTCTACAACCAAGAGGGACGATAGGCTTTCTCTTAAAAGAGTCGGCCCACAAAATAAAAAGCTGATTGCTTTTGCTAAATGCCCTGTGTCACGTGTTGGTTTCTGTTTAGTTCCTGTCTGCCCTTATTTGATTCAGTTCCTGTTCTCATTTAGTTAATCATCATTCATTAGTTATCACCTGTGTTGTATTAATCATCTCATTAGTTCCCTTTGTTTGGATTTTGCTTATAAGTCCTCAGTTCTCCCTTAGTCTTCGTCCGTTCACCGTCATGTTTAGGTTGCTCTTAGATGTTTCTGATTCATCTGTCTCCTGGTTATTCTCTTGATTTGAAGTTGGAATTAAAGATTGTGTGCTGGATTTACTCCAGCATTGTGCACTTGTCTCCTGAGAGCACAGTACCTGTGACAGATGAATGGACCCCTAAACAAGATGGATTGGGCTGAGGACCAGTTGTGCTGCCTGCGACAGGGTGGTCGCCCTCTGGAAAGGTAGGTGGAGGAATTAATAGAGCTTTCCCATTAAGTGAGCTGGCCCGATGCCTCTCTATGTGCCTGTTTTCAGTTGGGACTGGATGAGAACACTATTCGTTGTCGTTTCCAACGATTGACTTACTGTTCATCCTGAAATGGCTCTAACTTTGAAGTAGAGGAGGTTGGAGAAGTTAAAAGTCGTTCTCATCCAGCCCCTTCTGAGAACCACTGGGCCTCGCCAGCTCACCCCATGCCGAGATCCTCCACATGCCTGGGCTGGGGGCTAAGGTAGGGGACCCAGCAATAACATCTGTCCAGTCAGTGCTGAAATCTGCCTCCCTTCCTCCGTATCCAGCTCCCAGAACCATTCCGATCCTCAGCCCAGAAACAGCCATGATTCACTCTCCAGAGACCGCCCCAGAATGCTCTCCAGAGCTCAACCAGGAGCCCATCCCTCCTTCATCTCCTGAGTCTCTTTCATCTCCTTCTCCTCTGCTGGTCCCGTCCAGCCCTCCTTCGTCTCCTGAGCCCCCTGTGTTAGTGAACTCCCCTCCTCCAGAGCCCGCTCCTCGAAAGTGCCCTCCAGAGCGCCCTCAAGTGCCCGCTCCTCGAAAGCGCCCTCCAGTGCCCACTCCTCCAGAGCTCCCTCAAGTGCCCGCTCCTCGAAAGCGCCCTCCAGAGCGCCCTCAAGTGCCTGCTCCTTCAGAGTGCCCTCAAGTGCCTGCTCTTCCAGAGCGCCCCCCAGGATTCCTAGTTTTCCCCAAGAAAATTTGTGGGGGGGGGCATATACCCGTGGCCGAGCCAGCTAAGGCCACGGTGGATCCGCCATGGCCTCCTGAGTCCCCTGATCCTGGCAACCTGAACTGCCTGCTCCGCCGTGGCCCCCTGAGCTACTAGCTCCGCCATGGCAACCTGAACTGCCTGCTCCACCATGGCTCCCTGAGCTACCAGCTCTGCCATGGCAACCTGAACTGCCTGCTCAGCCATGGCCCCCTGCACTCCCTGATCCGCCCTGGAGACTCTCCTTGTCTCCGCCCTGTTCCTGTCCTGTACCAGCCTCCAGGGCCCCCAGCCCCCCTTCCCGCACCTTCCGGGAGGGGGGGTCGATATCTGTCACGTGTTGGTTTCTGTTTAGTACCTGTCTGCCCTTATTTGGTTCAGTTCCTGTTTTCATTTAGTTAATCATCATTCATTAGTTATCACCTGTGTTGTATTAATCATCTCATTAGTTCCCTTTGTTTGGGTTTTGCTTAAGTCCTCAGTTCTCCCTTAGTCTTTGTCCGTTCACTGTCATGTTTAGTTTGCTCTTAGATGTTTCTGATTTATCTGTCTCCTGGTTATTCTCTTGATTTGAAGTTGGAATTAAAGATGTGTGCTGGATTACTCCTGCGTCGTGCGCTTGTCTCCTGAGAGCACAGTACTTGTGACACCCTGGTTCTCTGTACATACATATGTAGAGTCTGCACCGGACATACACAGTGTAGCTGCTCCTCCTCTGGACATGAACAAGGTGGTGGATGGAAAGCCATCAGATCCACAGATTGACCTGAACCAGCATGATCGAATACTTTAGGCATAAACACCGGGTTAGTTCTAAAATTTACTTTTTGACCACCCGGAGCGAAAATCATACATGAGGAATGAACTGATAAGGCATGCAGTTAACTCACCCTTTTCGCTGTAGTAAGAGATAGTAACAGAGCAGTCTTTAAAGAAAGCAGCTTTAAGGAGATCCTCTCAACAACCTCGAACAGGGTTTTTGAGAGCGCGTTCAGGACCACGGACAAATCCCAGGGCGGGACCAGCAGTTTTGATACTGGGCGTAACCGCCGCGCTTCTCTCATGAATTGGCAGACGAGAGGATGCTGGCCTATAGTACCCTAGTCGAATTCTATATGGTATGCCGAGATCGCAGCCAAATAAACCTTAACCGTGGAAAAGGCTCTACCCTTATCCAGGAGGTCTTGCAAGAAACAAACCACATCCAAAATTTAACATAAATAAGGGACAACGCTTCTTTCCCTGATCGCTGCAGCGATTGGTCTGCCGTGATTGGCAGACGTGGTGTCATTGGTGCTTCCGCAATCGGTCACACCTGGGGCGTTCCTATAGTGAAATAGCGAGCGAATGTTAGAAAGAGAACCGCAGACTCCCCTGACGAGCCCCGACCGATACTGCCTTGCCTTTATAACGTACACTTGCATATAAACAGTGTAAACTTTATTGTGTATGTGGGTGTCAGGGAGAGAGAATAAAAAGAATATACTGATGTCCTACCTGGTAGCCATTGAGGTCAGTAAAGAATCGATCTTTGCTGTTCAGATCTGAGGTTATCCTAATTGCAATTTCACGGTTGATTTCGCCTCTTATATCTACGGTGTTACAGAGCTCAACAGACTGACCCTCTACACCTATGAGAAAGAGAGGGGTCAAAACGGACGAATCAGCACAGGCAACAGAAGAGGATTGGATATCTGTTTCCTCCACTTCCATACTACAATTTCTGTATCAACACTCACATAGCATCAACTGTATCTGAGTATTTAAAAGTTCACAGTTCACAAAAAGTATCATTCTCATGTTGTTTTAAACCCGTGATTGATTGTATACTGAATACCTACAGTAATTTAGCGAGGACCACTAAAGACCACTTCCTTATAGAACAATAAGTATCATTAGGCTGATAATGCACAAAACAACATCTAATTTACTGTTTGGAGCATAATCACATACAAATCACCAAAATACCACAAACTGTACATTTGCCAACAGCAAATGACTGCTTTCCTTTTTTAACTTTAATAACTTGTTTGCCTGTTCCTGGCTAAAGTTGAATTTGAGCAATTAGATTTTCAGAGTATGGTGAAAATAAGTAAACCCTCCTTCATGCTAAATGTACAATTTGAATTGGACTAATTGAGCCTTTGGGAATAAAACAGTGCAAGAAACAAATATGTTCCGTTTCCTTTAATTAAAATAAAACCCCTTAAAGGTGGAAGAACATGCTCCATATAAGCAGCACAACCACAAAAACAAGGTTATGCTTTATGGAGTACGATAGCTTGGAAATATTTCTACATGAGTGTGTCCTCATTAGCTCATAGTGAAATGGTAACCTGACACTTTCAGTGAGCAACCATCACTGATATTATTGCTCATACTTTGAGTTAATGATTTGAACAAACACCTAAGCATACATATAAAATTTTGTTTGTCCAACAGTCATAAATGATACCTCAAACTGTGTGGCTTGATATTACTTTTCGATTTAGGTGGAAAAGTTCTAGATTGATACTAAAGAAGGACCTGAAACATCTCTAGAGACACATAATATCATAGAGACTTGGGCTCTTTTGACTTGAGCGACAACATAACAATCACCCAGAACACCCTAGCAATCACACAGAAAAAACTAGAAACGACTCAAAACACCTCAGCAATTAGATAAAACACTATTGCAACCACCTGAAGGAACAGTTCTCTCAAAAATGAAATTATGTCATTATTAACACTACTGTCCAAAAGTTTGGTGTCAGAAAGATTTTCTTTTAAGAAAGAAATTATAAATACTTTTATTTAGCATAGACACATTGATCAAAAATCAAAGACAGTCAAATAAATGTTGTTTTTGAACTTCCTATTTATTAAAGCATCCTGAAAAAATGTATCATGGGTTCCACAAATATATTAAGCAACACAACTGTTTTCAACATTTATAATAATAATAAATGTTTCTTAAGTAGCAAATCAGCATATTAAAATGATTTCTGAAGGATCATGTAACACTGAAGACTGGAGTAATGGTGCTGAAAATTACATGCTGGAATTAATTACATTTTAAAATATATTAAAATAGAAAACAGTTCACAATACAATCTTAAAAATAAAGGTTCTTTAATGGCATCTATGGTTCCACGAAGAGCCTTTAACATCCACTAAATCTTACCATTGCACAAAAGGTTCTTTATAGTGGAAAAAGGTTCTTCTAATTATTAAAATGTTCTTCACAATAAGGAGAAAAAAGGTTATTTTAAGAACTGTTCACTTTTGGGGAACCCAAAATGTTTCTTCTATGGCATCGCTGTGAAAACCCCCTTTTAGAACCATTATTTTAAAGAGTGTATTACTGTTTTTACTGTATTTTTGATCAAATAAATATAGTCTTTGTGAGCATAAAGGACTTTCAAAACTTTCAAGAACATTAAAAAAATCTTACAAACCCCAAAACTGATAAAGTGAATGAAGACTTAGTCTAAATTCAAACAAAATGGCAAAAAGCAGCTTTACAAAATCATGAAAGTATTCCACACAACTTAATGAATGAATCATTCTCTTGTTTTGGATCTATTATACAAATCAGCTGACTGTTCACAAAATCAGTCTGAATGATTTCTTCACATATCAAACTGATCAGGTCCGCAGGTTTAACCTAATGATCTGGTTGCAACAGTTAATAGTCCACAGGAGGGGAAGATTATCAGTGAATAAAGGATTAAATTAAAGGTTATTGTATGAACACTTGAAATTTAGTGAACAAGTTGAATACACAGCATTTTTTTTACTTTTCTGATCTTTTTTATGTCTTTTTGAAGCTTGAAAGCTTCAGTTGCCATGTGTTGTAATTGCATGGAAAAGAGCGACCAGTACAAGCTTCAGAATTTCCCCTTTTGTGTACATAATGTCAGAGACAACTATTTTGTGTGTGAGTTGAACGTCCCTCTCCTTACACTTTGCATACTAAATTCCAGTTTGAACTCAAGGGAATAACCCACAAGAGGTTTCGCTTCATTCTTTTCTTTTTTTGGACAAAAACAAACATCACTGGGGGAAAGGTCCCTAAGGCTCATGTGACTGCCCTGCTCTTTCAAAAACACTCATGTATGTTATCTCACCCACCCATAAGGGGTCACAAACAGACCGTCCAACCCCTGGTGCTCTTGATAAGAAAGCCTTTCTGAATGCATTTCATTCTTTCACAAAATGATCCCATTTTAGCACACCATTACATTTTTTTTTGGACTGTCTTTTGATATCAAACTTCCTTTCTGATGTTGATTAAATATTTGTAACTTAGTAGTGTAATGCACTGCCTTTTGAGGCACTGAAGATTGCACAGTTTGTTATAGCTTGAGGAACATTAAAAAGGCTTACTTTTAAAATAGAAAGATTTATAAAACAATAACTGAGCTAGAAAATAAAAAAAGCTTTGTACAGCATCCAGTAAAGCCCTCTTGTACTAAACAAGCCATTATAGTAATGTGAATAAAAAGCTCTCTTAACAAAGATTACTTGGAAAAGAAAAGGAATTTCTGGGGGTCAATCAACCAGAGGTTTCCTGAGGTTACACTGTTACCCTCCCACCATCGACTTTTGGCATTAACAAAAACTCAGGAGCTGCCTAATTATACAGGACTTCCCTAAGACAACTAGTCGAACTTGAAAATGTCATTTTGCAAAGCCCTAGTGTAAATATTTGATTTACATACTGTAAATAGTGGTGACTGCAAGCGTAACTGAGAAGTGCAGGTGTTGAGTGTTTGCTTTCCTCTCTTACCGTGGATGTTGTAGAGCCGAAGAGTGTGTGTGATTTGTGTGAAGGTAGTGGTGACTTCAGAAAACAGCGGTCCTTTAGTGACTCGTACCACCGGCGGCTGAGAGGGAGAATAAATCTGTGCGAGACAGAAAGGAAATCAATGTGAATCAAATCAAACTCATAAAATCCCCTCAGAGCAGAGCTACCGAAGACACTGCATGACAAAACTGCCTAGTGTCCAGATGAAAGAGAGAGTTTAGCTCTTGTGAGGTTTCCCAGTGTTTTTGGGGTGGATAGCAGATAAAGCTGTGAGCAGTGACCGTTATATTTAGAACTCCAATCAGCTGAATAACATCAATTTGGGTGAAACTTTATAAAAAAAATATGTTCCAGCAAACTTTCATGGTAATCATTTGTTTGCCTCAAATTAACCACAAGCCAGCTGCAAATAGTTTTTAGAGGAGTGGGCGATATACAGTTTTTGTTGCTGTTGTTGTTATTAAATGAAATGAAAATCTTGTAATTATTTACTTTGCAATGTGAATGACAATGTTACCCAGTATTTCCTGCACCTCTATTCAGCAGTAGCAAATTATATTTATGTAAAAAAGTTGCAATGCAAATGCAAATGCAAATAATGATAATACTGTTATAACTGTTGTTATTAAAGAAAATGTAAGAAAGGTACAATGCAAATAAAATATAATAATTTTAATAATAATACTTGTACAACAATAATAATACTAATTCTACTACTAACAATTATTATTACTATTATTGTTATTAAAGACAATAGGCGATTGCGGAAGCACTCAAAATGAAAATCATGTTATTATTTATTTTGCAAAGTGAATGATGATAAAAGTGAGAATTTCCTGCACCACTATTCACATTGGCACCAGCATCGTAGGGGAAACGCTCAAGTTGTGGTGCTCATGGGAAACCTTAAAGGTGCAGTAGGAGAACTTGGAAAATGCTAACTTTAGCCTGATAGCACTGAAAGCGAACGTCCCACCCTCCCTGCAATCGCCGTCCAAAGCCACGCCCCCTGAACGCATGAACGCGCACACACAGACCAGATGACCAGAGACAACATTACAACCATATATCATGTGTTATTAACCGGCAAATACATATGTTGACAGGCAGGTATGAAAGCCAATCAAAATGCTTGGACGAACATTTATTGGTCCTACGCCTTCCACAGAATATATAAATACATTTAGACCACTTAACTTAATGATTGCTATCGGGATGTGAAGAGACTTTCAACCAGCATAACAAAAAATGTTTCTGAAGACAATCACCTATTGCACCTTTAATTCTAGGCTTAATTATGATTTCAACCACTCCACTTTCTATTAAGGGTGCTCCGATCAGGATTTTTGGAGCCAGTCACCGATCGCTGATCACAGGAAGCAGTATCTGCCGATACGATCACCGATACCGATCTTTTTGAAGCCTTCTTTTTATCATTTAGAATTATTTATCATGCCAAACCTCTCAAGGCAGGCGCGTGTCAGCTTGAGATCGGTTTATGAGGCCTTTAAAGAGACCGCCAATCAAACTTCCCAAAGCGATTATTGGCCGATAGCGATCGGTAGCCGATCAATCGGAGCACCCCTACTTTCTATTGATTTTCTGTTTCTCTCTACTACTATGTTTATAAATAAAATGTAGGAAAATATTCACTCAGAAAGAAAGAATAAGAATACTACTGGGCAAGATATGGAATATTTGATTAATCTAAAAAAAAAAATTACAAATGATCAAAATAGTTTTTACTGTTGCTTCTTTGTCAGGCAGGAACAGGTAGGCGCCGCTCTTGTCTTTATTGCTGGTGGTGCCGTACCAAACAAACTCCACCTTGACCAGAAACTCCGAGTCATCCTCCTTCAACCTCATTTTCTGTAAACAAGAGATGTTCTCTGGAGTCATTCCTAAATGTATGACCTTACAGCAAACCCAGAGAGCAGCAGTCTATCATCTAACCTCTAAAAGACCTGTAGCTGTAGAGATGGAGAGTTTCAGGTGAGGGTTTTCAATGTGCACAGGAGCCGCATCTTGCTGGTAGAACTGTGGGAAATGCTCCAGTTTACTGACTGAAATCTGCCCGCCATCTTGAAGAAACATGTACTTAGCAGCTTCTGTCCTTGGCTCCATTCCTTCCATTAGCTGATACACGCTCAGACCCAGAGGAGCAGCTTGAGCCACAAACGACAACTGTTGAGGAAAAAACAAACACGATTAAAGACACCATGAACTGGCTAGAAGAGCATTTAGATGACTTCAAACTAAGCATGGACTAGTTTGAAGAATCCACACTCTTCAGATTGATCCTTTCCATAAACAACATACCCCTAATGCTGTGATATGATGCATCGATGTAGCAGATCTCACCTGAAAGACGTCGGTAGCAGCATGACTGGCATCATTCCACACTGCACTGACTTGAGCACGGACCACATGACCAAGAGCATTAAGCACACGCACTTTAGGAGTAGCCACATATACTGTAACCATGGATGTCCTGGCTTGCTCTGTGGGGTTGTAAACCACCAACAACCTGGGAACAGCAAATAAATTAAGCATTTTTATGAAACTTTTTTTGCCACAGATTCTGCTGCCTCTACTTCATCCACTTCAACACATGTACCATGAGGTCATTTTCAACTCAACATTATTCTGCTATAATGCACAACAGCATAGCTCCGAAAGTAAAACTCTAATTTGTTTCTTCTACAGAGAAATGTATTTTTAAGAATATTTCATTTAGAAATTGAAGGAATTATTGATTTACCTTGGTTTTTCACCAACTTCAAGAATAGTTTTGCGAGGTAAGGCATCTTGGGATGGCTGAACGTCATCCTGTAATACAGAACCAGCAAAAGTGTGACATGCACAAGGCAATTACCAAATTTCAGAGTGATGCCATGTTATGGATGTACAATATGAACACTCACCATTTGAAGAAAGGGATTTGAAGGATCATGGTAGTATGCTGGTTTGTCCTTGAGCACCAACCAGTGAGCTGAGCTCACAATCACTCGCTTCACATTCAGAATAGAGTGAAACAACCTTAAAAATAACAAAGATCATGATGTTTCTACAGTACAAATATGCACGCCAACATTCATGGGTAAACCAAACCGTTTGAATAATGAAATTCACTTGGGATGCATGTTATATCACTGAACCATAGTGGTTCATATTTGGTTTGTTTTACCTAATAAGATCAAATAATAAGAATCAAATTTTTGTTTTTTCTTTATCAAAAAATCAAAGGGTTGGATTTTTTTGAGAGTAAGGTACATTTATGTAAATTAATATTATAGTGGTTAGTGGTTAATCTGAACTTGCAACCCAAAGGTTCTATACTAGCATTCTAAAGTTTGGGGTCAGTAAGATTTTCTATTTATTTATTTATTTTTAAATTTAATTACATTTTATTATTATTTTTTTTGAATGAATAAATGAATGGATGAAATTAATACTTTATTTTAGTAGGGATACATTACATAATTCAAAAGTGAGGGTAAAAACTTTAGTTTTTTTCCCCCTGATATTTCTATTTCAAATCAATTCTGTTCTTTTGAACTTGCATTTGTCCAAGAATCCTGAAAAATGCACAAATATTAAGGTGCACAACTCTTTTCAACATTGATAATAATAGGAAATGTTTTTGACCAAATCTGAATATTAGAATGTTTTCTGCAGGGTCATATGACACTGAAAAAAGAATATTGTAATTATTATTATATTTTCACAGGAATACATTTTAAATTTTAAATTGTAATATTTCACAATATTACTGTTTTTACTGTAGCTTTGATCAAATACAGTAAATGCATCTTTTCGTGGAAATATTTAAACTTTTGCATCTAGACAGTATGCAAATGCACAACCAGATATGAGAATTACCAATATTTTTTCAGTAAACGTTTATTCCTTAAACGTTCCTATTTCTGTAAAATGGGTTGTTAGGAAAATTCTTTGTCTGATCGTTTTGTAAAATAATTTTCAAATAATCATTTAGGTTGATTAGCCCTAGAAAATGTATTATTAATGTTTTTATTTTAAATATATTGGCGGTCTTTTGTTTTGTGTGGATATATTCATACATTCATTATTTGGTCATTTTACCATGGTTTTCAAGCAGATGGTAACGACTGCTTTACGAGCAATTTGAAGGATCTATGCGACTGCCACTTTGGGGCGAAATGCAACAAACGTATACAAATGTTGAAGGTAGTGAAAAAGTAGCATAAGTCTTCTATACATCTCACTTTCAACCGATATTTCAGGAAAGATGCGCTACCTTGTTCCATAGTCCACAACCACCCAGTCTTTGCCCGTGCCCGCGATGGCATCATGATGCTGGAAGAGACCTAGATTGCGTCTGGCTTCTGTCAGTAACTTGTAATTATCCACTGCAGGGTAATCACTGGGCTGGCCGTACTTCTGAATGTTGGCCAAGGTCAGAGAGTAGAGGACCTCAGCTGCCCTGCGGACAAACATAAAGTGATATATGAAACTCCTTCCCTCGCAAGATCAAAAATTCCCACAAATCCACACTGAATAAATGAACAGTGTTACAAGAATCCGTCTGGCATCAAAATACCTCCTGAATCCGGCTAATGTTCAAATTCCAGGAAAAGAAAGACAACAGTCTTGTAAAGTCCCTGTTGTGTTGGGTGTGTCTGAGTGAGAACAACAATAATACCAGAATCTCTCCACCTTATAGTAACAATACAGGTGTCATCTCTCCGAATAATGACCTTCTCAAATTTTCCACAGGAGATGAAAATCTATAGCTGGGCAAACCTCACAAAACCTGTTGGACATGAGTCATATTTCACATGTTGAAAAAAAAGAAATGATATTTTTCCTTTAAGGCAGTAGTTCTCAAACAGGGGCCCGGGCCTCAGAAGGACGTAAAAATATTTCAATTAAACAAAACAGTGGTAATCCATAGTTTAAATGTTGTTGTTTTTTACCAAATAACTATTTGAAGTGAATTGATAAAGCAAGAATAAGTAGTTTCTGCAGATCAAACATTTCAACATTTCTGCATATGGTTCACAGACAGTAGTCTAAAAATGCAGTACATGCGACCTACATACTTCACATCAAACATACATCTGCTTTCTGCTCCCGCAAGAACAGCCAAACATTGACATTAATAATTAATTAAACATGAAATGACCTTGGACAGAATATCTCTAATCAGTCTACTCTGTGTGTGTGTGTGTGTGTGTGTTTGTGTGTATGTGTGTGTGAGAAACTGAGCAGAGCTGAACAAAGTCCTATTTGCTGTGTGAAAGAAGCCATCGTGTAGAACGGGGAATAGTTTAACAACTGCATACTGATGAAAACTGTCTCCAGCCTACATTTAGACACCCATCAAAATGCAAATACTGTGTTAACTAGAGTTCTCCACATCCGCGAGCTGAAGGTGTACCCAATCTATTCACTTGTGTGATCAGTACAGCCGTCTTTGAGAGGACAGGGTATAGACGTACAATACAGGAACTAAATGAGGGAAATTAATATTCTTATCATGCATCACACTAAACAATGAAATGCAGGGCAGTCACTGACTGACATACACAAACACAAACACATTTACACACACACACACACACATACAGGATGTATAGAACACATAAAAAATGCCTGTAGAGGAGCATGTAGAAAAATCAATGTGAAAAATCAATATGTACCACTGTAACGTCAATTAATGAGAACTGCAAAGACATTTCAACAGTTTCCTGCTGTAAAAAAAAAAATGTAATAACAAGGAGTTATTTCTTTCAAATTCCACATATTAGCGGTAATTACTTTATAAAGGGTATTTTCTTAATAAGATCAATTTTCATCTTTCTAGGGCCAATATCATGTTAGAAAGGAGGTGGCACAGTCAGTGGCCATGGCCAAATAAATACTAAAGCCACTGAGTCGCTGGCTCAAAACTGGCTGCTTTAATTTGCTGTGACCTTGTCACAGGGCTTCAGTCTTATCGTGAAAACACAGCCATGTGACCTTCGGCTTTGTGTGTTAGTTAGCAGCATACAGCACTGCAAGAAAAATATGGTAACGTCTGTTATCACAGAGCTCCATTTCCTATAGACAGACTCTACCAGCGACCACGATCAGTTCAGGGGCCGGTTGCATAAACTAGTCTTAAAAGTTAGTCATCTAATTTATTTCTGCAAGACTGGTCATACATTTTTCAAATCGGTTCCATAAAAAAAGTAGACTGGTCTAATTTAAATCCGAAAAGTAAGGCTGATTACCACTTGATTAATTGCTAGTTAGTCAAACTAGTCCTTAAGACCTGTCTGACTGTGTGTGCATAAGTCAGACAATTCGAAAAATGCTATTTTTGTGGCTTTTAGTGCATGTGTGTTAGGTCATCTGTATGCTAGTGCACTTATATAAGTTGATATAAAAGCAGACTTTGAGCAGATAAACACATTTCAAATTCACAGTCTTTTTCTGATGACCAACCAGACCAAAAATATTTTGGTCTCTAAACTTTGAATAAAAAAAAAAACACACAAAAAAAACAAGTGATCAGACTTTGAAAAAGCTACATTTCCAGAAAATGTCATTAGTTTATACAATATGAATTGCAAATATTATTGCACAAATTAGCAATGAATTCTGGCTCATAACTGACTTTATGTTAATTTTGAACTCATGGTTTCAAAGGCAAGTCAAGTCCAGACATATGGAAATAGTATTTTTTTTATTGTTTCAATTTTTGGACATTGAGACCCAGACCAAAAATATTTATGCAGTGAATTTATGCAGATTAATGCAGTGCATATTTTCATATTTGCAGTTCACATTTTCTCTTTGGTGCAATGAATGACCTTTTGGTGCTAGAGAGAGTTAAAGAGAGAGTTTTGCATCCTATAAACTTTTGGTGATCATTTTCCAATGTGGTTAAAGTTGTGAAGGCTTACCGGAGGTGTGATTCCAGCACTCTGTCCAGGCGTTTATAGAACGGCCGTGAGGTGAAGTATCCGCTCCAGTAGTGGTCGTCTCGATCCGCGTAAGTGAAAAAGTCTCCACTTAGCACAGGCAAAGCCAACTGCCCAACATTCATGCCAACCGGATCCATGCCAGTGCTTTTACGCAAGGCCTCGAAATAATCTGAAATAGTTCCAAATTGGGCCTGCAAAGAGAAACAAAAGAGATAATATAGGAAAACATATAAAATGATGGCTGAAAATATACCAAGAAGAGTTCAAAGTGTGGCCAATTAAAGGAAACACTGAAGTCTGTCTAAGGATGCTAGACCTGGACACGAAGCTCAGGGTGAGAATTCATGTAGTCGAAGAGTTTCTGGTAGTTTTCAAACTGTTGGTCCCATTCGACAGCTTCAGTGTAACGGAAATCATCTCCAAGTGGAGCCAGCAGCACATTGGTCCGAAAAAGTTTGGATTTCTTCCTGTACTGGTCCAGCAGCGTCTGAACTCTACATATGGAGAGAATAAACTAAGTGGAGGGAAATCTAAATCTAATCAGAATTGAGGGAACACAAATCCACAAACAATGACACAAAAAAAGGGATTAAAAATGGTTATTTATTGGAACAGACTATTTCAAGACATAGTTCAAAACAATCAAATAAGGTAGTTTTGTCCTAATGTCTGTGACTGTTACTGGTGTGTATAGCTGTACCTCTCCTGTATGTTGTTATCTGTGATAGCCTGAGGAGGAATTCTCCACGGACAGCTGATTCTTCCTCCCGGCAGCCTTTTAAAGTCAAACTGGCAGCAGATTTTTGGGTCAGGACCACATGTATGGGGAACATCGTAGCTGTAGAATGGCATCATGTGACACAAAATGTCTGAACTCGAGTCCCGATCTGTTAGAATCAAAAACATATGCGAAGTTACTAGTCTTGTGTGGCCATGCGAACAAAAAAAGGCCATTGTCTACTGTTAATAGTGTAGCGATAGATGAAGTACATGTTACACAGAAATCACTTTTAAATCAGTCGGTCAATGTTGCAAATTTACATGACTAACTTGAACCTGTTGCGAACTCTGCTTCCCTATCATGTGGATTCCTATTGAAATGACTGGATTTTGCCTAGGAAAATTCACAGAACAACGGTAAATGTGACAGCATCTAATATTTAAATTTTACAGTTAGCATTGTTATTGTTATGTTATTTAAAGGAAAAAATGTCTTTGTAATCTTACCTTTCCTTAATAACAAAAATAAAAATAGCTATATCGCGATATTTACAGAGTTCTGGCATGAAACTCTAGATGGCGCAGTCCGATAGGCCTAACTCAATCTGACCTAATAACATCATTATCACAAGGGACAGCTGATTGGTTCTCTCCTGTATCGGTAGCCAATGAGCTCGCTGCTCAACATTCAAATAAATGACTAGTGCTTGCCGTAGCAGTTGCAGCTTGCTTCAGAAACCCTCCACCTTCCCCAGCTCCACCTGTATAGATCTGCTACGAGGTGATTCATGTATGCTATATGGGGGTTATTTCATGTATGTTATATCTGCAGCAGCAATATTTCTTACATGCTCACAGCAGCATGTTGTGGATGTATTGGCAGAAGCAAGTCTCGGTACTTGCTCTGCGGCAGCAGCAGCGTAGCAGATCTATTCCGCCAAGACCAAATACATTAACATTGTCATGTACATTACCATGCCAATCCCTCCGAGAGATGTCATGACAGAAATATCGTTATCATGAAATAAAATTTCTCATACGGTGAAATAAGATTTTGGTCATATTGCCCACCCCTACTACAAATCACGAAATGATCCACTAATGTCAAAATCAAATAATATTTTATTTGCAATAAAAATATTAAATTACCCATTCAGCACAGCATGTGCTCCAGAGTGACCTTCATAAAAGCTGTGCAAATAAATAATGCAGGATTTTTCTTTAAACAAGGGACCAGATGTGAAGCACAGAGTAGTCTGGCTGTCTGTTAAATGGTGATAGATGGAATTACATTGAACAGAAAGCTAATTCAGCCTAGCATAGAGTGCACGCTGCCAAATTAACTGTAATCATATTTGTTCAGCACCGGCTACAGTCAGAGATCTAAGTTAGGAGTCCATTTTTCCAGGGTTTTTTAACACTAGGTCTGGAAAAAACAGCAAACAGATGCATGACACTGAACAGGCAGACAACGGAGAACAATAGATGGGACGTGGGAGGACGTTTCCTCTGACTTCTCTTTTGTTTACCATTCTCAGCTCTTATTTTTCATTCAGATCATTAGAGAACAAGTGCCAATGGAGCAACACACAGCAGCAAAAATATGAGAACACATTATCATGAGAACATATAATCATACTTGAAATGTATGAATGTCGTTGCATGAGATCTCAAACCATGTGGCATCTGCAAACAAATGCTACTAGATCTAACTTCCCTTTTTGAGCCATTTTTTACAATGATTTTACCAAGCTCATTTTCAGTTAGGTCAGTTCTCCTCAAGTTCACACATGAGTAACCACAGGTGTATTTCATCACATTAAATACAGGCACTTAACTATGGATTGAGAAACGTTATACCCTATATAATGAGAGATTTGGACAGTTACAGGTTGTAGAGCTTAGTGTATTTCTGCACAAAATATTATACATACATATTTACACATGATTCTGCCTCACTAATAAGCACTTTCATAATGCAAACTAAAAGACGTGCTTTAAAATGATTAGACTTTTTGAAGACATTTCCCATGCTTCATGATTCAATTTTTTTTATAGTTTTATTTATTTTAATAATTATTTTAATACTTAATGTATAGCCTATTAGTCAAATTCATAAAAAAAAAAGAGGCAAGGTTGGTAGTTCAGCAGTGCAGCATTAAACAAATGTACTTAGTGGGCTTCTGTAATACACCTTTGTTTCTTTGATCTCCTTCATTAGAATAAAAAAGCAAACAAATTTACATTATAATAAGACCAAAAATAACCAGTTACACAACCAAAGGGCGTTAAAGTTTTAACCTTTAAATCCTTTGTTCTTTGCAACGGGTTATTTTTAGGTTCTAAAAAGCTCATAATAATTTATATTCATTTTATAAAGCCACAGATAAAATACTTGTGCCATTTACAGACTTGTGAAGTTTGATCTGGACTGAAAGGTTTTGCGGCAGAGTGTCTTTTTAGAATCTTTTTAAAGGGGCCACTGAAGTAGTTATTTAAGCACTTTGGTTTGAAACAACTCTAAAACGTGGCTGCCGTTGTGCTCCCTTCTGTTAATTGATTAATTATTTTCATTTTCAATTTTAATCTCCATTAACTCATTTATTATTCATTTATGCTTTTCAGAATGGGTTGGTAATGCTTCACAACCAAAAAAGTACCCAAATGCAACTTTCTGAACAGCATAAGTATTGTTTTAATATTTAAAATCGATTCATATCTTATATCTTTCCGTGCATTTATTTTTGCTTGTAAAATACTTGCTACTTGGTTTGATATGTTGTACTTTGCTTCCTAATGCAACGGCATTCGTGCATTTTCAAATGTGGCACAAATGTGTCTAAATTTGACACTCTGCATGGTTTATTTCTTGTAACAGCTCAAGAAATGAGAGCTTTTTCTTTTTCATGATACAGCATTTGGCATGAGGTCTTCGACTGCACACTATTGACATGTAGCTACATGCAGGATGTTACCAAACAATATTTATCCAAAGGAAAGGGGAACAGGAAAGGGTCTAGAGTGTGTGATGCACGGTCACTGCACCATTATTTTAACCACGCTTCCTGTGTGGTTTCTGACCTACTGAGGAGTCTGTAGGAACTCATGCAACCTAAACACTAGGTTTAATCCTGAGCAGAATGTTTTCATGCATAAAAAAAACATGCAATCAGGACAAGCAATATCAACTCATCACAGACCCATAACACCTTTCATACATTGCTAAAGATAGCTTAGAGTACTTTTTGGTGAGGTTGATCATTATAGCTCCTGTTTGTGTGGTTATCTTTCAGGGTGAGGGTCTGAATGACCTCCAGTGATGGAGATGCATCTGGAATAGGAGGCGAGCTTTTACTAGGCACAGACTTTGTTAGGTCTGTTACCAGGGACAGCAGCTGCAGATGCTTCATGGAAAACTGGATTTATCTCACTTCAACCTCTGTTTCTAAAATCGTGAGAAAATAAATGTAGCGAGCAGCCCCACCTACCTAGGTTTTAATCAGCATAATCGCTAACTAAAAGATGGATTCAATCAATGGGAAGCATGAATGGCACCGCCGAGCAGCTCATGTGATTAGAACAGAGATTTCCAATCAAACGTGTGAGGCCACTCTGACACACAGTCAGTTCTGAGACTTAACGGGACAGCTCACCCAAAAATGAAATGCAAAATGATTCTGCGAACATCTTCATTTGTGTTCTATGGAAGAAAAAGCTGTATAGGGTTGGAAAGACATGGTGGTGAGTAAAAGATGACCCGACATTCATTTTTCAGATGTGCTGTCCCTTTAACACTGATTTTGCAACTCGAGTCAAACTGAAATGTCAAGGTATTTTGTAGTAAGTGACCTGTCATCCAATGCATCATATTTACTAGTTTAAAGGAATACAGAAAATCATTATAAACATTAAACCACTGCATAAATGAACTATAAAAAAGCATTCTTCCATAAAAACATCCTCTATTTCCTACATAAAGATCAGTTGCTCACCCCAGTTCTGTCTCCAGAAGAACTCCAGGGTCTTCTGAGAAGCAAAGTGTTTCTTCACTGAGTAGTGCACTCTCTGGATCAGCATGTTAGATAGACCGGCTTGTCTGAGCAGGTAAGCTTGGGTAGGAGAGTGACCGAACGGATCCACAGCCCAGCCAGTCTTGGGTTTCACTCCTAACAAAAAAGGGGAGGAATATGACACACAGTATTACGTACTAAACATACAAAAAATTTGTAGTATTTTAAGTGCTTTCCACCACTACATGTAGTTAAAACGTAACATGTTGTCTTGCGTCATCATTCAAAAATGTTCACAGAGGTTTTAGTATTGAAAAATATAAATTATATGTATTAATATTGCTGATTATTAGTTTTACTTGAAGTAATGCATTACTGATGCATATAAATGGTTAATGATTCAATAATATTCTTGTTCAGTGTTCAATAATTAAAAAACAGAATGTAAAACATACAATGATTATTTAACTATTTCATTTAATTGTATTTTACTGCATTGACTGAAAGCCATCGGAATAATTATAGATATATTAAGATACACTACCATTCAAAGGTTTAGGTCCAGTAAGTGTTTTTTTATATACTTTTATATCAGCAAAGATGCATTAACCGTTAAGACACAAAGAATGTTACAAAATATTTCTATTTAAAAATAATTGCGTTTTTTTTTTTACTTTATATTTATCAAATAATCCTGATAAAAAAGCATTACTTTTAAATTGTAGTTATTTTAAACTAATAATATATAATAATATTTCTGTTTTTTTTTACTGTATTTTTCCTCAAATAAATGCAGCCTTGGTGAGCATAAGACACTTCTCCCAAAAACATAAAAAAAAAAAAACTTAATTCCCAAACTTTGACCAGTAGTGGATTTTAAATTGTATTAATACTTCACAATATTACGACTTTTATTGTATTTTTTATCAGATAAATGCATCCTTGGTGAGTATAAGAGACATCATTCCAACACATAAAAAAATCTTACTGATCCCAATCATTCCAAAATACACATACATGCAAAATTACAGTATTTCTGTCTTGGCGAGTATTCACACAAACATAATCTGTTATGTCTTAAGTGATCGTTTGGTTAACTGTTGGGGAAAAACATCGGATGTGTAACATTGTATTAGTAGGTCTTAAAGGAACACTCCACTATTTTTGAAAATGTGAAAACTCCCCTAGAGTTAAACAGTTGAGTTTTACCGTTTTCAAATCCATTCGGCCGATCTCCGGGTCTGGCGGTAGCACTTTTAGCTGTAGCTTAGAATAGATAATTGAATCTGATTAGACCGTTAGCATCTCGCTCAAAAATGACCAAAGAGTTTCTATATTTTTCCTATTTAAAACTTGACTCTTCTGTAGTTACATCGTATTCTGTAGTTAGCCTATTTTCAAAAATAGTGGAGTGTTGCTTTAATATATAGGCCATCTGTCTCATTAATGTTAATCAAACAATAAAAGAAAAGAGGGAATCGCTCGCTGCTCTTGACTGAACTACTTTATTTGTAATGAATACACTATAGGCTATGCAGTGATTTTTACATTTGATTATTTGTTTTTCTTACTTGAATGATTCTGTTCAGATGTAAAATGAAGAAAGTAAAGCACTGTTAATTTAATTTGCTTTTACTGTTTCTTTGCCTCTTTGTGCTAATTTTTAATAACAAAAATATATTATGATTAATATAATAATTATGGTTACACTTTATTTTAAGGTGTCCTTGTTACAGTGTAATTATACATTTAAGTACTGAGTAATATTAATTAAATACATGTACTTACTATATGGTTAGGGTTAGGATTAGGGTTTGGCTTAGGGTTACTTGCATGTAATTATGCATAATTAATTGTTATTATAATAGTAAGTACATGTAACGTGTAATAAGGACACCTTAAAATAAAGTGTTACCATAATTATTTTTAAAGAGCAGGTCATATGGTATTTTAAAGTGTCCTAATAATGTGTTGGAGTCCCCTACAACAGGTTTAAATGCATCTAATGTAAGAAAACATTGTGGTTTTCTCAAAATATGCATTTAATTAATAATTCTGAAGCAGTTCTGAGATTAAGGTCTGTAAACTCCTCCCTTCCATAAGCCTACTCTGCTCTGATTGGTCAGCTGGCCAAGTCGGACTCTGTTGTGATTGGTCTTTCCGTATACAATGCGTGTCGGAAACGAAACCATTAATTTTTTTGCTCCGGAGGTTTACTTGTAAACAAAGATGCTATAAGGTTACAAAAATGGCATCGATATTACCTTATCAATTCGAGCCCGAGGATGATACCGATGCAGTTGCTCAACCGGAAACTCCATCGCAAGCACGACTTGATCAGGACATTTCTCAGTGGTAAGTTTAAACTTTGTATGTGGTACTTTACGTGATGTGACAGCAGTTTTATTGCATTCATTATTATTATTATTTACTTATTTGAGGTGCACGTGTGGGAACGGTGTTAGACATGATATAAACACACTAACTAGCAGAAGTGTTTGTGGGCAGGTCAGAATTCGTATTTCGCGGGCAGGTGGGGATTATGCAAATGTGTTACCTTGTTACGTATATAGGTAACAGGCAGAAGATTCAAAAATTAAGTTAAGGCGGTTCAGAGTCGACTCTCTCTTTTGAGAGACAATATCTTTATTTATCATGCACTTTTTTGATTAACAACTTTGCAGACTGTTTACATTGAAGGATAGCTATGTTACAAACCAAAAATAAGATATTTTTCGAAAACCACCTCTAGTGACATCTTCTGTGATTGGTCAAAACACCCCGCAAGGTGCATGGAAATAAAAAAAACATAAAAACATTTATATCTCCTATACATTGACGTGTGCCGAATTTGGTGGTATTACCAGAGAATTTAAGGTATGGTTGCTAGGTGAATTATTTGTTTTGGAACCTTCAGAAAACTTTAACTAGATTTTTCTCAAAACTGACTTTGCTGACTCTATCGACTTCGTGCAGATGTAGCTCAGTCATTTTATAACTCATTTTTTAAAATGTGTTCATTGTGACTCATTTTGCCAGCACGGGTCACATACAGCATCTCACAAAAGTGAGTACATCCCTCACATTTCAGCAACCATTTTATTATATGTTGTCAAGGGACAGTACTATAGAAATGAAAATTGGATATACTTTAGACTAGTCAATGTGCAGCTTGTATAGCAGTACAGATTTACTGTCCTCTAAAAATAACTCAACATACAGCCATTGTTGTCTAAATAACTGGCAACAAAAGTGAGTACACCCTAAGTGAATATGTCAAAACTGTGTCCAAAGTGTCAATATTTTGTGTGAGCACCA